CTTTTTGCTTATGTGGTGCTGAGGAATTGAACCCAGGGCCTCAGGCATGCAAGGCAAGCACTCTACCACTGAGCCACCTTCCCAGCCCCCTTCATTTCTTTTTATAGCTGAGTAGTATTCTATTGTATGGATATATGCTTCTTTTTGTTTATCTGGTCACTAATTGATGGATATTTGTGTTGTTACCACTTTTTAGCTGTTATGTACAATACTGCTGTGAAAATTCATATATGGTTTTGTTTATTTTGCAGTAGTAGATATTGAACCCAGCATGTATGCTAGGCAAGTACTCTACTACTTTAACCACATCTCTAAGCTCAATGTACAGGTTTTTGTGTGAATTTATGTTTTTAGTTCTTTTAGGTATATATACAGGAGTAGAATTCTATAGCAACTGTATGTGTATTTGACTTTTTGAGGAGCTGCTAAACTTTTCCAAAGAAGCTGTGCTGTTTTACATTCCTGTCAGCGGTATTTGAGGTTTTCCATTTCTCCAAATTCTCAACCAACATTTGCTGTTGAGCCCCTGAATGTACCTTAGTTCTAGTGGATGTAAAGAAATATTTCATTGTGGTTTTGATTTGCGTTTCCCTAAAGATTTTGGGTTTCTCTTTATGTGTTTATTAGACATTTATATATTTTCCTTAGAGAAATATCTATTCACATCCTGTATGAACAGATAGAAAGAAATGGCGTTATCACTGAGTTGTAATACTTCTTTATATATTGTAGATATTAGATCGTTATCTGGATACTAAACAATTATCAGATGTGTGATTTGCAACTATTTAATTTTGTGAGGCTGTCTTCACTTTCTTGATAGTGTACACTGATACACAAAAGCTTTTTTTCTTTTTCCCCTTTGATCTTGTATGAAGCATAAGAACTTACTTTAAAATTATTATTATTATTTTGGTATCAAACCTGGGGCTTGAACTTGGAGCCTAGACACAGCCCCTGAGCTTTTTTATTCAAGGCTAGTTCTTTACCAATTGAACTACAGCTTCACTTCTGGCTTTTTGGTGGTTGACATAAGAATTCCATGGACTTTCCTGCTTGTTCTGGCTTTGAACCATGATCCTCATATTTCAGCCTCCTGAAAAGCAAGGATTATAGGTGTGAGCCAACACATCCAGCAGAATTTATTTTTAAGTCTAGTTTATCTGCTCTCCCCCGCCCCCCTGCTTTTGGCTACTTATGCTTTAGTGTCATATCTAAAAACAATTGCCTAGCCCAAGGCCATGAATATTTACACTTGTATTTTCTTCTAGGTATTATAGGTTTTGCTCTTACACTTAGGTTTGAGACTAAATTTAACTTCAGATTCAGTCTTATCTTGGGGCTGAGGATGTAGCTTGTTCCTATCATGCTCAAGGCTGTGGGTAATATCCAGTACTGGGGAAAAAAAAAGTCTCAGTTTCACCCTAGAATCATTTTGGGCTGGTGGATATAGGCTGGTTTTGTCTGTCTTAGTTTATTTAAATCTACCCACCTTTGTACTAAAGCTCAAATATAATTTTACGCTCAGTAGTATTTGATACATTGTATGCATAATGTAGAACTCAAGGAAGAAGTTTAGAAGTGTAGCTTAGTGGTAGGTGCAGTGATTACCTAGCGTACATGAGGCTCTTGGTTCACTGAACCCCTGCACTGCAAAAAAAAGGTATTTAACTGTTAAGGTATTTTCAGCAAAGTTGAATGGGAAGATATAGAACAGTGGTTGCTCATAAAACTTGAATTAACTAAGAATGAATTCAAACTGCGGGGAGTCTCCAATTTGGTCAATCAGAGGACTGCATTGGCTACTGTAAAACTTGAAATAGCTGGAACCAGCGGTAACTTTACGTCCCTTTAAAGTACTATTATAGTACTATTGTTATAGGTGACTCATAATCCTCACTACTTAGAAGGCTGACAAGCTGGGCACTGGTGGCTCATGCCAGTAATCCTAGCTACTCAGGTGGCTGAGACTTGAGGATCATGGTTCAAAGCCAGCCCTAGCAGAAAAGTCCACGAGACTCTTATCTCCAATTAACTACAAAAAAATGCTGAAAATGTAGCTATGGTTCAAGTGGTAGAGCATTAGCCTTGAGTGAAAAAGCTCAAGGATAGCTGTAAGACACTGAGTTCAAGCCCTAGGTGTACACACACAAAATGGTTGAGATCTGAGGATTGCAGATTGCATCTCATAGCCAGTCCTGGGCAGACAAAACCAGAAGTAGAGGCATGGCTCAGATGATAGACTACCAGCTTTTAGTGAAAAAGCCTAATGGGAATGAAAACAAAACAGTGGAAGCCTGACTTCAAGCCTCAGTAGGGACACATAAACACATGTACACACAAAACTACTAACAAAACTAAGCTAAACTACTGCTAGTTCTGTTTATCCTACTCCAGAAAAAGGGTGGGGAAAATGACAGATGGGATAACTTTAGGTTATTTTAATTATCCTGTTATAAGAGAGGCAAGATATCTTTTTTCTTTTTCAAAATAGAATGCTTCACAAATTTACATGTCATCTTTGCACAAGGGTCATGTTAATTGCATTGTTCCAATTTTAGTATGTGTGCTGCCAAAGTGAGCATAAGGCAGGATATCTTGTGGTTAAGGTCAAAGTCAGACTTGAGTGTGAATTAGGCTATTCATTAGCTGTGTAGTTTTGGACAAATATTTAATCATTCTTAGACATTAATTTCCTCATTTGTAAATTAGGTATTATGAAAATTCCCACCTCCTAGCATTGTTAGAAGCATTAAATGAGACAGCATACTGTCTGCGTTAATAAATACTTAATGATAGCTTTCATTATTACTCACTGAGTTAATGACTATTTTTAATATTTAAATAATTACATTTGGAGCTAGGGAATAGCTAAAGGTAGTGCTTTGCTTAGCATGTTGAAGGTCCTACCTAAGCACACACAAAAGATTAAACTGGGCAAGATAAACTATGCTTTATTCTCCTACCCTGAGTTTAAGAACATGATCAGTTTAATTCTTTTTTTTTTTTTTTGGTCAGTCCTGGAGCTTGAACTCTGGGCCTGGGCACTGTCCCTCGCTCTTCAGTTCAAAAGCTAACACTCTACCTCTTGAGCCACAGCACCACTTCTGGTTTTCTGATGGTTTATTGGAGATAAGAGACTCATGGACCTTCCTGCCTGGGCTGGCTTTGAACCATGATCTGAAGAGTAGCTCCTGAGTAGTTAGGATTACAGGCATGAGCCACCGGCACCCGGCTCAATTTCATTCTTTTTATGAAATAAATTATAATTACTAGCTTGTCCTGGTACATTATACTTAATTCTTGTTTTCTTTCTTTGTATAAAGCTGGATTTGATGTAAATGTGGTCATGCTTCAGGAATCCCAACTTTATGATATGACTACCAGCCAACAATTCTGTTATAAAAATGTGCTTACCCCAAAGTGGCATGATATATGGACCCGGATACAGGTAATAATTTGGATGTCCTTTTCAGGGACATCTTGACTTTTTTAAGTAACCCAGAGGTATAAACTTCTTTTCTTCTTCTCTGCCTTTCTCAAAGAAGCTGCTTCTTTGTCTTCACTTCCTTTTGTAGTGTGCATGCATATTCTTTTTAAACACCTGCCTTCTTTGGGCAGGAAACTGGTGTGCCTGTCAGGATGTATAAACTCTTGCCTTGCTGCTCCTATTCTGTTTTGGTTCTACACAAGATGTTTCATAAACCCCTTGAACTACAGTTTCTCCTTGGTAGAATAACTGGTTTCATTTATTTCATAACATTGCTAAATCACCTGGTAGGCAAGAGCATCTGGCTATAATAGTGATTGAACAAAATGAGTCCTTTTGGAAATGTTGCTGCTATAAGTATATTGATATGGATGATTGTTGTTCACATCAAAAAACCTAAGAGTGGGCTTGTGGGTTTTTAAATTTTTCTTTTTTTATTATCAGATGTAAAAATCATACTCTATGTAGGGCACATTATAGCCAACATTTATCCATAATCAGTGATTTCTGACAATGGGTTGAACTTCTCAGTCTGTCATTATGGGAAACATTTTCAGTTTTCTGGGGCTGTTATGACTGGCAATTTTCTTAATATTCAGACCCTTGCTTTGTAAGATCTCATAAATAGCTGTATTGATAACTCATCCAGCTTGGGAGTCGTTGCCCGTCTATGTTCTGGCCTAATAGATGCAGATCATATTAACAAGAAGTCATTTACCAGCTGTGTCTCTGTATCATGTGCGGTGCTGTTTGCCCAATTATGTTGAGCTGTTACAGCTGTGTATTTTTTGTAACCCTCATGGAGACAGGCACCATTACTTATTTAGCTATTTACTCTAAAAATTGTATTTATGAACAACTTCTTGTTTCTCATCTTGATTTTACTTATGTTACAGATCCGGGTAAATAGTTCTAAATTGGTCCGAGTCACGCAGGTGGACAATGAGGAGAAACTGAAGGAGCTGGAGCAGTTTAGTATCTGGAACTTCTTTTCTTCCTTTTTAAAAGAGAAATTGAATGACACCTATGTTAACGTGGGTCTATACAGCACAAAAACCTGCCTTAAAGTTGAGATTATAGAGAAGGACACCAAGTACAGTGTTATTGTGACCCGGAGTAAGTCTCTCTCACCTCTTGTTTTTCTGATGGATTCTATAATGAGGAGGAACTGAGTTTGGGAGGGGAGAATTAGTGACACTGAAGACCCAGACCAGGCAGATCCATTTAGGTTCTTTAATGGTTATAATGATGAATATACTACAGCTCCAAACAGCTCATAGAGACTTCAACTATATTAATGAGACCTTTTTGTTGTTATTGTTGTTGGTTGTGTTGGGGCTTGAACTCTGGGCCTGGGCACTGTCCCTGAGCTCTTCAGCTCAAGGCGAGTGCTCTATCACTTCAGCCACAGTGCCACTTCCGGTTTTCTGGTGCTTAATTGGAGATAAGAGTCTCACGGATGTTCCTGCCTAGGCCGGCTTTGAACCGTGATCCTCAGATCTCAGCCTCCTTAGTAGCTAGGATTACTGGCGTGAGCCACTGGCGCCCAGCCATGAATGAGACTCTTTAGTTAGAATGAAACCTACTCAGGGCTATTCTGAACACCCCTTTCCTAGAATTGGGAAGGCATGCTTTCTAATACGTCCAGTTAGCACTGAGCTGCTATAGTAGTCAGATAACTATGATAGTATTTTATAGTAAGTCAGATTACTATGATCATGCTTTCTGGATACTTTTAGATAACAAAGTGATTAAACAAAAAACAGAATAAAGGGTAAAATTGGTTCCTAATAATTTGCTAGAGTATTTATGGAACCATAAGTAAAAATTTGTGGAGGGGCTGGGAAGGTGGCTCAGTGGTAGAGCACTTGCCTTGCATGCATCAGGCCCTGGGTTCGATTCCTCAGCACCACATAAGAAAAAAAAGCCGGAAATGGCGCTGTGGCTCAAGTGGTAGAGCACTAGCCTTGAGCTGAAGAGCTGAGGGACAGTGCCCAGGCCCAGAGTTCAAGCTCCACGATCGGACAAAAAAAAAAAAAAATTTGTGGAAACTTAAGTAAAGATCACTGCAGGGTAAGGCTTATTCTGTAGAACCAGAAGTTTATCTTTCTTAGTAGGTGTCTGAGATAGTTTTTGAGGAGTGGATTCCATTGAATTCTCTGAGACTTGGTTTCTTCTTGGTTACTAATCAGCATCCTGGGATGTTGTAAGTAGTAGGAATGTTTGTTTCCAAATTTTGCTATAAAAATGATCTTCTGTAGGGAATTGGTGCCTGACAGCTATAATCCTAGCTATTCAGGAGGCTGAGATCTGAGGATTGTGGTTCAAAGCCAGCCTAGGCAGGAAAGTCTATGAGATTTGTAGCTCCAGTTAACTACCAAAAAGCCAGAAGTGGAGCTGTGGCTCAAATGGCCTTGAACAAAGAGCTCAGGGACAGTGAGTGGCCACGCCCTGAGTTGAAGGCCCCAGGACTGGTATAAATACAAAGCAAAAATGCCCTGATAATTATTCTATAGTTTCACAGTTGAATATGGTTTCGCAGTTGTTCTGTTTTTGGTACTGTAATACATTTAGTGATTCCTCTCTCTGTGGACCTTCCCCAGACCTAGAGTTCTTAAATGGAAAAGGTGGTGGAGTTTCTGGTGTGTCCCTTAAGGGGTCTTTGATTGGGACTTCTGGTCCTGGATGAGGTGTGTTTAGTTAATAGTTTTTTTCCAGTACAGTGTGTGGAGTAAAGGAAAGTAGAATGAAACTGTTGGACAATTAGAAAACAATGGGAGGTTCTAATGCAAAATTGTAGGCACATCTGCTAAATTCTGCACTTGTATTTAAGGCTTGAAAGCCACAATAGTGGAGACCTCTTCTGGGCAATAATGTGAAGTGCTGGTGGTCTGTGTCTAGCTTGGTCCAAAGTGAAGCCAGTTTCTTTTAACTTTTGTATAGGTAGTCAACATAAAAATAGTTTTTTTGAGGTGATATTATCCACAAGAGAAATATACATAGTACCTGAATTACAAAATTATAATTTATTAATAATAGCAATAAATACAATAATTTCTTCAGGAAAGTACAGAAAGACAGACTTAATTATGGTTTCTCTTTGGGTAGGTGCCTAAGCTTTGAAGAAACTACAGTGCCATTTGGGTAGGCTATCTCTATTTTAAAAAAACTGTAGTTGACCAATAATACTAGTATTTTATAATACTTTAAATTAAATCACTTTTTTTCTTAAGTAAAAATCTTTCTTTATTTCAGGATTTGACCCAAAACTCTTCCTCATATTCCTCCTTGGACTTCTGCTATTTTTTTGTGGAGACTTGCTGAGCAGGTAGGTTTCCAGGCATTGCAATAGGCTTCATCACTACACTGCTTGACATCTGTCACAAAAAACCACAGGAACTATTATTCCCTCTCTGTCACCTGTGTAGCTTGAATATTGCCTGCTTTGGTATTTTTATTTTTGTTCCAGGCTGGGACTCAAACTCAGTATCTTATGCTTGCTTTTGCTCATTGGCTGGCGTTGTACCACCCGAGGTACCCCCTGCTTTGGTATTTATATTTAAAATACTTTAAAAACTTTTTTTTTTGGTTGATTATAGGGCATGAACTCAGGGCCTGGGCACTGTCCCCAAGCTTCTTTTTGCTCAAGACTAGCATTCTACTACTAAGCCACATTCCCAGTCTCTACTTTCAGTTTTTGCGTGGTTAATTGGAGACAAAAGTCTCTCATGGGGATTCTTCTGCCAGGCCGGCTTCAAATCCCAGTCTTCAGGGCTGGGAAGGTGGCTCAGTGGTAGAGCGCTTGCCTTGCATGCATGAGGCCCTGGGTTCGATTCCTCAGCACCACATAAGCAGAAAAAAAAAAGCCGGAAGTGGCGCTGTGGCTCAAGTGGTAGAGTGCTAGCCTTGAGCTGAAGAGCTGAGGGACAGCGCTCAGGCCCAGAGTTCAGGCCCCACGACCGGACCCAAACCCAGTCCTCAGATCTCAGCATCCTAAGTAGCTAGGATTACAGGCATGAGCCATCAGTGCCCGGCCTTAAAAACATTTATGTGTTAGGACTTACATTTTTTCTGATTTATATAGTAAGTGTTAATAATGAAATGTCCCTATTACGGGAGGGGAGGAATAGGAATATGGTGGAGGGAGTGAATTTGTTCAAAGCGCACTATGTTTATGTGTGGAAATATCACAATGAAATTTCCTTCTACTATAAATTATGCAGATTAAAAAATAAGATATTTAAAAATATTCCTTATTATGTAGAACCATCATTAAGTTAAAGAGAGTTAGTATTTTTTCATTTAAATTAAATTAAAAAAATTTTGTCATATAAATGAACCCATTTATTGTAGACTAGGGATATTTCAGATGGTCAAGCTTTTACTGGTCTTTTAATTCCTTCAGTCTTCTAATGGCAAACTTACTGTGACAGCAGAAGTAGTGTTGTAGGTCCAGGTACCACCAGCCACTGTTTTCATGTAGGAACTACAGTGTCAAATGCCCACAGCTCACCTCTTCATCTTAATCTTGCTACAGAAGGAGCAGGTGTACTTGGTATGCTGGCTGATTTCAATTTTTTCACCATCTTCTGGAGTGAGGCACCATAACAGGTGTTGTATTTACCAACAATGCCGACCTTCTTTGGTGCTTTTCGCCATATTGCCATAACTCGGGTCCAGGCCCAGAGAGCTAAATTAATTCATTTTGTCTGTCAGGGGGCTTGAACTCAGGGCCTAGACACTATCCTTGGTCTTTTTTACTCAAGGCTAGTTCTCTAACACTTTGAGCCATGGCTTCACTCCTGTTTTTTGAGAAGTTAATTGGAAATAAGAGTCTCATAGGGACTTTTTTGCTTGGGCTATCTTTGAACCATGATTCTCAGATCTCAATCTCCTGAATAGCTAGGATTTCAGGTGTAATCCTAGGCATCACTGGCACTTGGCTTTTAAAAAAATTATCTTTTTTTTTGGTTATGGGGCTTGAATTGAGGACCTGGGTGCTGTCCCTGAGCTCTTTGTGCTCAAGGCTAGGGCTCTACCATTGAGACTACCATTGAGTTCAAACCCTGATATGGGAAAAAAAAATTACTTTGGAGAAAAAATTAGGATGGAGGAAGGGAGTAGGAGATTAAATAGAGGTTTATTTTGGGATCTTTTTGAGTAGACTTCATTAGTACTAATCTCCATAGACTGGCAACAACTTGATTCTTCCAGTCTGTCAGTCTCTATAGTCTACTAGTCTTAAGTCCTAGGCAAATTCTTGCTTTAATCTGGTACCCTTTAAAAACACTTTTGCTAGCCGGTTGCTGGTGGCTCACGTCTGTAATCCTGGCTACTCAGGAGGCTGAGATCTGAGGATCATAGTTCAAAGCCAGCCCAGGCAGGAAAGTATGTGAGACTCTTCTCTCCAGTAAACCACTAGAAAACTGGAAATGGCACTGTGGCTCAAGCGGTTGAGCACTTGCCTTGAGCTGAAGAGCGTAGGGACAGCGCCCAAGCCCAGAGTTCAAGCCCCATGACTGACAAAAACAAAAACAAAAAACAACATCAAAAAAACCCTTTTGCTGTATCACTTTTCTAATTTCAACAATACCGTACTTTGTATGAAGTGTATACCCATAGTCATAGTCATGAAATATATTTTGTCTCTGCAGGAGTCAAATTTTCTACTATTCCACTGGAATGAGTGTGGGAATTGTGGCTTCTCTACTAATCATCATTTTTATACTATCCAAATTTGTACCCAAAGTAAGTAACAGAATCTTCATCTGCAGTTAGGTTGAGTTTGAATAGCTAACATACCTTTTTTTCCTCCCTCAGTGGTGGGGCTTGAATTCAGGGCCTGGGCACTTGTCCCTGAGCTCTTTTGCTCAAGGCTAGTGTTTTATCACTTTGAGCCACAGTGCCATTTCCAGTTTTTCTGGTGGTTGGTTAATTGGAGATAAGAGCCTCATGGACTTTCCTGCTCAGGATTCGATTTGAACTGTGATCCTCAGATCTTAGCCTTCTGAGTAGCTAGGATTACAGGTGTGAGCCACCAGTTCCCAGCTTCATTTTTGTTGTTGTTGTTGTTGGTGGTGGTGGTGGTGGAGGTGGTGGTGGTGGTGGTGGTGGTGGTGCTGTGTGTGTGTGTGTGTGTGTGTGTGTGTGTGTGTCTGTGTGTGTGTGTCTGTGTCTGTGTGTGTAGTGTGCACATGTAGGTCCTGGGAATTCAACTCAGGCCTTGAGTGTTTCCCTGAGCTTTTGTGCTCAAGGGTATTGCTCTACCACTTGATCCACAACTCCACTTCCTACTTTGTGGTTATTAATTGGAGATAAGAGTCTCAGTGATTTTTCCTGCCCAGGCTGGCTTTGAACAACAGTCTTTAGATCTCAGCCTCCTGAGTAGGTAGGATTACAGATAGGAGCCACTGGTGCCTGGCACTACTGGATTTTAGGGGTTAATCTTGGAACACTGAAAAATTTGCACTGATGGCTGTCCTACTCTCCTTGATTCTGCAAGGTACGTTTCATGATGAGACTTGGAGTCTGATTACATACAAACTTTTTATTTAAAATATGTACTCAGTGAAAGATTAAAGTCACCTTTCTGTTTCCTAATTATATAGCTACGCTTTAAGTTACTTAGCATCTCATCTTTCCAATGTTCCTTACAGACTGTACCTTCTTAAATATAAAGCAATTCTTTTTAAGAGATGTGATTTTTGTGCATTTTGAGTAGATTAAATTTAAAAATCATAGTTCCATTTTCTTTTATGCTTGGAAAGTCTGTTGTAACTTTTTGCTTTCATTTCTACTCTGTCTTAGAAAAGTCCCATTTACATCATCTTGGTGGGAGGCTGGTCCTTTTCTCTGTACCTCATTCAGCTAGTTTTTAAGAATTTGCAAGAAATCTGGAGGTGTTACTGGCAGTATCTTTTAAGTAAGTGTTGGTTTTGTTTTCCCTTTTGAATGCTTATAGGCTGTTGTAACTAATTTGATTATGAAATGAGATTGCTTGCTTACAAGGGGTTAATAATTATTGTTATTGGACTGACTTGTAAGAATCATGCTTCTCCATGACTTATTTCTAATACTATTGTCATTATTACCCTCTTTAAAATTAAAATGCCACTAAGGAGAAGACTTTATTTATTAGCACTTCCCTTTATAATAAGTATCTTTCTGAAAAGTGTGTAAATAAACTTTATTAATATAATCCTATTTCAAATGCCTTGATGATCTTAGGAAGTAAAAAAATGACATCAGGAGTGTTTTCTATAAAGAAGGAATAGTTTGATGGTACAGTAGAAACCCTTGATCTAGAAATTTTTAGAAATTTTTAATCTGAAATAGACTTTCAGAATTGTTCAACATGTAGCTTGAACTCAGGGCCTAGCACTGTCCCTGAGCTGCTTTTGCTCAAGGCTAGCAGTCTTACCACTTGAGCCACAGCACCACTTCTGGCTTTTTCTGGGTATGTGGTACTGAGGAATCCAACCCAGGGCTTCATGCATGCTAGGCAAGCACTTTACCACTAAGCCACGTTTCCAGCCCACAGTGTTTAGCTTTTTTTTTTTTTCTTTTTGCTTTTTTTTTTCCTTTGTCGGTCGTGGGGTCTGAACTCTGGGCCTGGGCGCTGTCCCTCAGCTCTTCAGCTCAAGGCTAGTGCTCTACCACTTGAGCCACAGGGCCACTTCCGGCTTTTTTCTTTTTGCTTATGTGGTGCTGAGGAATCGAACCCAGGGCCTCATGCATGCAAGGCAAGCGCTCTACCACTGAGCCACCTTCCCAGCCCCCACAGTGTTTAGCTTTAATGCTCCATTTGAACCAAATAAAGTTGTGACAACTTTAGGAATGAATATTTCCTAATGATGAAGTATGAATAGTTGAGGAAAGATCTTGTTCAATTTTCTAATTTAATAGATATAGTGAATTTACTACACAATTAATATATAATGAACTTACCACACAATTTTTTTTACTATGCATAAATGAAAAGGAATGTCTTCTGCTAACTCCTGTCATAGGCTACATCCTCACGGTTGGATTCATGAGTTTCGCAGTGTGTTACAAGTATGGGCCCTTGGAGAACGAAAGAAGTATCAATCTTCTGACCTGGACCTTGCAGCTGATGGGCCTCAGTTTCATGTATTCTGGCATCCAGATACCTCACATTGCCCTTGCTCTTATCGTCATTTCACTGTGTACTAAGAACCTGGAGTACCCTATTCAGTGGCTGTACATCACCTACAGGTGACTGAAAGCAGTATAACTTTGTATTGACACATGCAGTGTGGGATTCAGATTACAGCAAAACGATACAGAGGTGTTGCCTTGGAACCTCATTATTAATGAAAAATTACTATGTTAAACCTCTTGCCTTTGTTACTTCCAAACTCTTAATTTTTTAGACTCCATAGGTTTAAATTTTTTTTCCTTTTAGTCATTTTATATAAAAACATCCAGTAAAGTGTCATTTATTCTTATTGCCACAAGGTGGTGCAAATTATGCCATTTTGTACTTGAGGCTGTAGGTCACCTGCTTTCACAGTTGGCTCTCAGATTGCTCTAGAGATATAGCATGTTATCATCTTGTGTAGTAAATATGGAATGGTCATGGATTCTGAGATTAACAATGGTTGTTCTGTTCAGAGAGTCAAAGTGATACCATTAGTTTGAGGAGCCAAATTAGTGGATCACAGTATTATAGCATCATTTTCTTGTTGTTTTTCCATTTATTGGAAATAAATATGTTGTTTATCATTTATTAGAAAATAAGTGAATTCACATTAGTGAATAATATTGACTACTCTGATTTTTCACTCATAGTCTGATGAATTAGGAGTCCATTTTAATGAAAAATTACGGAAGAAAGGTGGGAATGATGACTCTTAATGTTCAAGCTGTCTGCCGTGCACTTGGTCCACTGAAGGGAGCTAGAGGTAAGGATGGATATAGATTACTGATTAATGATTCATGATGTTATTTTGGTGAGCACAGAAAGGTGTGTAAGGCAACAGAAAAGCCTGTTCCCCCTCGTCTCCTGACAGAAGAAGAGTATCGGCTACAAGGGGAAGTGGAGACCCGAAGGGCTTTAGAGGAGCTCCGAAAATTTTGTAATAGTCCAGACTGCTCTCCATGGAAGACTATCTCTCGAATCCAGTCCCCCAAAAGGTAAACGTTTGGCCAGATAAGCTGAGTATCTATCAGAGTAATTGTGCTCTAACAGAGATCATACTTCTAGATAACTATGTTGTATTTGTGCCCTTTGATAACTGTTAATCTAGGAGTAGTCCAGAGAAAGGTTTCAATATTATCATGTATTAAGTTATAGCCTGTTTCCTGCTTCCCCAAGGAACTGCCTACTCTAGCCTTGATTATAGCTTTGAGATGAGAAGACTCCATAATCATATAACTTTCAGGTTTCCCCCTGGAAGTTATACACTGCTCTCCAAGTTAAAATTTTCTTTCTTTTTTTGTTAACCTTTTTTTAGAGAGGAACAATTGTACCAGTGACTATATACATCTTCATTTTGGAATCCTGATAACATAAAGCTTATAGGGCCATAAAGGCAGATTACTATGTAATGCCCTTAATCTTTTCTTATCGAGAATATGGTGACTCAACGAACCTTAGCTCTTCCATAATCTCAAAGGCAGTCTAGTGTTTATCAAGCAGGATAAGTTTTTGGGGGAATGTTGTTCCAGTATCCCACTTCTTCCTTTTCTTCCTATTTCTTGTTTAACTGTACTTACCTGCCAGATGAAGAAAAGCATCTTATCTTAGAATGTAAACACATTTGTATAGTACTATCCATAACTCTTCCTCAGATTTTTAACTATTGGAAATCCTTAACCAATTACAATAGGCTTTTTTTTCTTCACTTTATTTTCAAAATGATTTGATTGCTTTTATTAGACATTCTTTGCTGATATTTTTTGTAATTATAGTTCATCTAACATTAAAATTTGTAATCTGAAGATAGAATCCCATCTTTAATGAATTTACAGAAGTAGCAAAATCATTACTTTTCATTCCTTTAGGAAATAGCTATTGCCAAAGTGAAGAGATAGATCATATTTCATGTTGTTATATAATGGGGATGTGTTTGGCAGAGGAATTGTTTTTTTTATAAAGTTTCAAGGGATTTCAGTGTTCATTTATGCCATTTCTTCAGTTCCAAAATGGTTCTATTCCATACCAGAAATTTGAAATATGTAATCTGAAATACTTAATAAAACTTGGATATAGTTTTATTTTATTTTATTATTTTTGGGGGGGTCTGGTCGTGGGGCCAGAACTCTGGGCCTAGGCGCTGTCCCTTAGCTCTTCAGCTCAAGGCTAGCGCTCTACCACTTGAGCCACAGTGCCACTTCTGGCTTTTTTCTTTTTGCTTATGTGGTGCTGAG